TATAACAGTGTCGGATATCTACTAACAAAAGTGATTGAAATAAAGAGAAAAAGGATCTAAATGAAATCAAAAATTAATCTAAAAAATTAAAATTTTAAATTCCCGTCGTCGCTGGTTTGTGTGCATGTGTAGTCGCACCAAAATAACAAGTTTAGTCTGATGAAGTCCTGAAGGTCGAAACTCGTTACAAGGAAACTTTTTCCACTTTGTCATACATTTTCCTCAATATTGTTCTTGATATATAAACATATATATCGTTATCTAATCATCTCTCTCTCTCTCTCTCTCTCTCTCTCTATATATATATATATATATATATATATATGTGTGTGTGTGTGTGTAGAGAAATATAGTTTTTAGGTATGCTATATTTATGGACAAAGGGTTCAATATCAGGGATATAGCGATATTATACAGGGATATTGTCGGACTTTGTCCAATTCTTAATGTATAAAAGTGAACATTGAAGTCAGCACTCAGAGGCGACAGACTTTCACGCTAAACAGAATCATCAGGTGGTCTGATGATTACGTTTAGCATGAAACAGTCTGTCGCCTCTGAGTGTTAATTTCAATGTTAACTTGTTTCACTTTGCTGTCTGTTTCTGATGCTGAGTCTAATATAAACCGTTTTATGTCGCCAGCAGTGTGACTATTAACGAAAGATCCTACGCCATTGAACTTGATATCTTCCTTTCATTGAAAATAAGTTCAACTGGAATGAATCCTCTCTTGTTCTTTGACTTTTGCTCATACCTATCATACCTACCTTTGGAGATATGGTTCATTGATTATTCCAGTTTTTAACTAGGCTTTATGCATTTTATCTTCATATGTTCAAGTTCTTTATTTTGTTTAATGTCTATATTTTTGTTTTTCAGCGTCGGTTCGCCATCAATGCTTCACGGGTCGGAGGCACATGAGGCAGCGTGTCATTGGATATTCGACAGACAACGGAAACCGAACGGGAGATACCTAATTTTATTTTTTTAATTATTTCATTTAGCTTTCTGAGAAATTCCTGGTTAATTGAGCTCGTATGTTGTCACTAATTTATAATGAGTTTCTGAGTAATGGTGACATAGAGTCACACAACACTCGGTGTGATTGATTGGTTAAAACTGATTTCCAATAGACTCACCTAAGTAATTTATCATCCTTCAGTATTTATAATTTCTCATTTAGACATTGGTCTGCGCAATTCTCTCGGGTATTCATACAGAAGGATGTGTGACATGAAATCATATATCTATAATATATAAATATATATACATACATACATACACATACATATATATTGGCATACCTCAAAAATCAAACTTCCTTATCCAAACACTACTGGATCTGATGGATAAGGGACTAACCCCACTTTTCGAATGGAGATACTTATCAAGAGCTAGAACCCCTAATAACTTCCGCGATCGGTGTGATCTGTGCATGGCGGAAAAAATTTTTCATGATTAAAGATAAGAATCAAGATGAGTTGCTAAATCTTCGGAGTGAGATCTTTTCTAAATGTAGACATAAGAAACGATTCAAAACATAAACACCGTTTTATAACGTGTTGTCACTTATGTCAGTTCCATCTTGGTTCAATAACATCGGCCATGACATTTTAATGGAATGACTATTATGTTTATCTATTATGATTATCTATATGTATCATTGTGTATGGTTATGTGATACGCTATGTATTTAATTTTGATTTGGAGACAATTTTTTTTTTTAATTTTACGATTTGGTTTATATATAAATATGTATATGTGCGTTTATGTGTGTGTATGTGTATATATGTAGGAATGTATATATATATATATATATATTTATATACATATACGAATATGGATATATGTATATATGTATATGTAGGTAGATGTGTATGTAGATGTGTTTATGTGTGTGTGTGTATGTTTAGGTATGTATGTATACATATATATCTGTATATGAGTGTATATGCATGTATGTATGTATAGTTAGACGGATAGATAAAGGGATACATTGTTTATTTGTTTAGATGGGTGTATGTAATTGTATGGAGATGTAAGGTTTTATGTATATATGTTTATGTGCACGTATGCGTATGTCAGTATGTATATATATGTTAAATGTATATATATATGTAGAAGTGGATGTGTATGGATGTATGTCTATGCGTTTATGTATGTATATATATATATATATATATGTATGGGTGTGTATATTTATGGGTATGTGTGTACACACCTATATGTATGTATGTACGTGTAAATATAAATATGTTGTTGTGTATGTGTGTATACGCATGTGTTTTTGAACATAGAAATATAGGTCCTTCCTAGATTAAATAATCGTTATGTTTGTTTTTTATATGTTTATATTTGATTTGTAACCTGTAGATATTACTTTTGTCAAATTTTCTTGATTACACAGCGGCCCTTTTATAAATGTCCTTCGGTTTTAGTTCCCACCACCCCATCTCTCTCCCCCCACCCCTCTTTCTTTTCCTCTCCCTCTCTCATGTTCTGATCTTTAAGTTTAAATCGTCTATTGTGTGTGTATGCTACCACAAAATGTATCTTTTCCGGTATATCTTTAATGTATTAGACATCCGAGAATATTCATATTTCTCTCACTTAAACCGTCTTTGACTCCTCTCTTTAAAACTTCTCTCTGATAAATTTTAATCCCCCTTCATCTTTAGACCTTCCTGTTCTCTCGTCTGTTACCCCTCCCTATAGCTTTCATTTACTCTAACATTCGTCCCACACTCTCATACATACACTCTCACTAAATTTTATTTTTTTATTTCCGGTGTTGTTTTTTCTGTTTTCTTTTTGAATTTGTAGGTCTGATGAATTGGATCATATTTACCATTCCAATGGAATAAATTATGACCATGGAATATTAGTGTTTAAGTTTTTTTATTATATATATATATATATATATATATATATATATATATATATATATATATTTTGTGTGTGTGTATTATTTTTACAAGATCAAAACTTTGGCTAAATCACTGATCAAAGTCATTTGATTAAAAATTTAAATAATTAGAAAACCGTTAAGAATACTTAGGTTGAAGTGCAACAGCTTTCTCTGGAATAGAAAAATCATTTGTTTTATTGCAAGGATATCCAATCCTTATCGATTTGAATATGTTTCATAGAATACATATAGTCATATTCAGGTCGAGCTTTAAAAAAGTTATTTGGAAACTTATTTTGGCTTATACGTCTATATTTCTTTTTTTGTTGTTTGTTTTATGAATATATTTCGTCCATTGTGTTTTTCGAACTTCCTTACATGTATATTCATTTGTTGGAATGATATTCCGCATGTAAAGAGTGTCTTTATAAGAGCACTAGAGAGTCTTTGAGAAAGTATCAATTGTCTGAAAAAGTTCACTCTATGTACGTACGTTATGATTGCAATGGGAAATTGCACAGATTGTCGGTTAGACTTCTGATGTAAAACGAAAAAGGTAATCTTAGATTTAATACTATTAACCGCAATTAGGCTGATAAAACAAAGATAGAACACCAGAATGAATACATTGTAATGTAAATATAACGTTTTCTCTCAGAATTTGCAGCACTGAGGAAGGTTTGGGAACATATTGGCTAAAGGGTATCGATAAAAGCTGCAATAATATGGCTATTAAACGGAACAAATCGGGGCTCATTTCTAATAGTCGTTGATGACATTTTAGACATTAAAGAAGTACAAATCATAAACAATAAGGAACAGCATTATATCTGATATACCGACTGAAATAATATTACTCACTCTTGGTCGTTCGTTTTCAACTAGATTGAAATCACTAAAAGAAGAATTGAAACATTTTACTTTCTAAATTTTATTACAATTACGTTTATAGAAAGCATATATTAAAGAATCACGATTTGAAATCTAGACTTTTAAGTTTTTTTTATATCCCCAGTATTGATTTTGTTAGAAAACAAGTTGAACTATGTTCCTTTGCGCACATGATTAATGTAAAAGAGTAACCAAAGATGTCTCTTATGTTTTGTTGTTGGATAACATTTTCAACATAAAAAGTATGGCATTTGTTGCAATCAAAAGATTTATGATTTGTGACAATAGGCAATGCAGTGGGCATTGTCAACATTTATAATATTTTATAAAAAAATAACACAAATGACACTAAAGATTGTGTAAATTATGGAGAAGTCTCTGTGAATGATCGAACCTGTTAAGAGTGGTTTGTAAAGTTTAGTGGTGGATATTTTTTTAAGTGTGCATTACGATTTAGTTGACAGCAAAACAAGACATTATATCGCGTGCATAATGACCGATATATGTAAAATATTAAAATCAACATTTGAATATCATTTGCAATTATTAGTTAAAGTAGATTTGATATGTCGATTCAATGTACATTTAAATAAATTCTACTGAATTTTCTGGTACACGTAATGAGGTAGGATGATTTTGAAAAATCTGATACTCAAAGGATGGATAGAAAGAATGAGCGACAGAGGAAAGCAGCACATAACATACTTGATGGGCTTGAGTAAATGGATGGTAGAACAAAGTTTAGGAGAAATAACAAACAGACAAAATTATTAAGAGCTACAAGGGATAGAAAAAGATGTGGAAGACCATGAACAACTACGTCCTGAAGGGGCACGGCACATAAAAGAAGATGCGAAAACTGTTAACTCCACTAAACCAGAATAGATTGCCTTGTTTAAGTGGTTAAGTGTACACAATTTATCTAAGAGTTGTGAGTTCACTTCCGGGGTCAGGCAGTGAAATCTATATAATGTGGTTCAGTTGCTTGAAGTGAAGTTGGTCGCAATACATCAATGCAACATTAAGGTGATGATTGTCTGCATTGTGACACATGAAAGGTTTCTGGGCACGAGAACTGAATTATCCAAGCAGCAAATATTTCACGTTCGGAAAAAATACATTAATTAAGGTTACCGGACACTCAGCAGTCTTTGAACTGATCGAAAGATGGTAATGTTGAAAAAAAGTTGAAGTCAGTACTAGGTCGGTGGCTGGGGATGTAAAAGAAGGAAAATGCAGTACAGTCAGTGTTGTTTTTAATGTAAAGGGCGAAGGAATAGAAGGATACAAGAGAAATAGAAGAAGGCAAAAAAGAAGAGACTGGAAGTGAAGTAGAAAGGAGAAAGGAAAAGAGAAAAAGAGAAAAGGAGAATGAAAAGGGAAAAGGAAGAAAAGGGAAAAGGAAGAAAAGGGAAAAGGAAGAAAAGAGAAGGAAGAGAAGAAAAGGAAAAGTTGGAAATGAGAAAGGAAGAAAGGAGAATAGTAGTGAAAATAAGGAAGACAAACTAGAAATGTGAGGAACGGAAGAGAATAGACGAGAAAGAGAAAGAAAAGGAGGAAAAGGGAAAGAATAGAAGAAAATGAATAGAAAAAAAAGACGAGAAAGAGAAGACAAGAGTGAGAGAGAAGACAAAAAGAGGAAAGACAGGAAGAAAGAGAGAGAGAGAGAGAGAGAGAGAGAGAGAGAAGAAAGAAAAAGTAATGAAGAGATTAAGAGACAAGTAAATAATATTATGAAAGTTTTCTTTGCAGAAATGGCAACGTTTTCATTTTCTTTCAATTTATCCGTATCTTCGGAATCAGCTTGTATTCTAGCTTCTCTTTGTACGTGGTCACTGTCAGATGTCCGTTAACAATAATTTGACAGCAGAACGTACATCCAAGGAAGCAGCTGCAGAGTTCCTACTTTCTCTAAAATCAAAAGCATGAGGAAAACTTTGGTGTTTGCCATCGTAAATTATCCCAGAATGTCTATAGAAGTCAGGCCTGTCAAGATATAAACGATTTTCGTCTGTTTAAATCATGTTCTGTAGTTTATTACGCTCTTTGTGATCATCTCCGCCTACTGACACCTAGCTTCTTTGCCGCGTTTCTACTGAGATCACCTTAGTACCGCGTATGGGAGTTACTGGTGAAGATATTAGAAATGTCGAATTTTAGTAATTGCCGGAGCTGGATTATTGTTTGTGACAATTTTCGAAAATATTTTCATAGATTTTTGTGGCATTTCTTAAAACATGTTATGTAACCCACTGAGAAATCTTTACTCTTATTACCAGATTATTTGCAATCTTCATGATAAACGTAAGTATTTGTCAGTTTTGGGATCACATTGATAAACATATATTTTCTGAATTTTGTATTTTCATAGAAATCTTTTATGAAGTTCTTCAGCGTAGGAATGGCACAAAAACATTTAATTCACAAATTTTTAAATAGATTCTGGACACAAAGTAATGAGATTTAATTAAAAAATTGAATTTACGTGTCTAAGAATCATGGAATAAAACACTTCAGAATCTGTAGTGTTCACATGATTATCTATCTATCTATCTATCTATCTATCTATCTATCTATCCTAGCCTTTTGATCTATCTATCTATCTATCTATCTATCTATCTATCTATCTATCTATCCTAGCCTTTTGATCTATCTATCTATCTATCTATCTATCTATCTATCTATCTATCTATCTAACCTAGCCTTTTGATCTATCTATCTATCTATCTATCTATCTATCTATCTATCTATCTATGCGTGTGTGTGTGTGCTTCTGTGTTTCAGTTTTTTCAAATCTAAGTTTTTTTCTATCTATCTATCTATCTATCTATCTATCTATCTATCTATCATTTATAGATTTTATCCCTCTCGCTATCTATCATTTACAGATTATATCTATCTACCTATTTATCTGTCGTTATAGATTTTATTTATTTTAGCCTTTTCATATCTATCTAGATATACATTTATAGATTTTATCTACCTACCGTTTATTGATTTTATGTATCTTTGTGTTTCATATCTATCTATCTTAGCATTTTCATATCTATCCTAGTTTTTTCATATATATCTATGGTTTATAGATTTTATGTCTTGCAATCTATCTTTTATAGATACTAACTACCTATTTATCTATCGTTATAGATTTTATCTATCTTAGCCTTTTCATATCTATCTTAGTCTTTTCAGATTTTATCTATCTATCTATCTATCTATCTATCTATCGTTTATAGATTATATCTACCTTTGTCTTATCATATCTATCTCTCTATCTATCGTTATAGATTTTATCTATCGTTTATAAATTCTAGCTATCATTTATCCTTATTAGACTTTTCATATATACCTGTCGTTTATAGAATCTATCTATCTATCTATCTATCTATCTATCTATCTATCTATCTATCTATCTATCTATCATTTATAGATTTTATTTATCTCGTTATCGTTTATAAATTCTATCTATGAATTTATCATTTCCACTCCTCGCAACCCCCCACTTTCCACCAGCGTAACGTCCAGTAAATCCCCAAGGCTCAACACCTCCCAGCAGAGTTCTTCTCATAAGAAGAAATTCCCGAGTGGGATAATGTCGTGTTATGTAGACAAGCAAACATTGGAAAAAGACATGTCGAAGCAAAAGTAGGCGCTGTTGAAGCCTTTGTTGAAAATGGCGTCAGTAGACGGACTTGCTATAGAAGATCGCCGAAATTTGCCCAAGGCCGCTGGGGTAATAACGTGGATAAAGAGCACAGGCCGAAATCTGATAGCGTGGGGCCATCTACAGGAGGCTAAGGATGCCTTTCCGGAGATCCGTATAGTGGAAATGGGAACCCCGGAACTAAGAAAGCTACAGAAATATTGTGCGGGGAGGGTCCCAGTAATCCTTCATCATTTATTATATAGGCCAGTAAAACTAACCTATCCCTCGGACGTTGGCGGCATTGTCCGAGATGGTCGCATGACGACAGAGATGGGGACAGGGAGCCTGAGACAATCCGTCGGGGTCCTTTCATCCGTAGATTTCCGTCCAGTCTGTGAGTAAGGGAATCAACTTAGAAAATGTCTCTTAAGATAGCCAGTTTGAATGCTAGGGGCTTGAGGGATCTGAGTAAGGCTACCCGCCTGTTTCGTGATCTCATGTCCTTCGGCGTAGATGTAGCTGCGATCCAGTAGACGCACATTGCTTGCGAGGTTGATGTGCGTGTGCTGTCTAGCGACTATGTTGTCTATTCAGCATACGTGGACCAGCCGGCCAGAGGTGTTTCCTTGCTGTATTAATTAATACAGTGGCAACTCTTATTTTTTGTGGGTTGGATGGATTCTACTAACATCTGTTATTTTCTGTTTTACATTTTGTTTGTATTGGGATTTAGAGCTCACCTTCTCATTTCATATCATCTTCATATATATATATATATATATATATATATATATATATATATATATATATATATATTACTAACATATGTACATAGGAAATTTTACATTAGAAATTTTTAAATAAAGGGTTTAATTTTTAGGTTCCCTTTTTGCATGTGGTATTGAGTAAAAGGTTTAGGATGTCTTTTGGTAGATGTGTTATTTGTATTGAATTAATGGGTCGTGAATCAGATTACCTTGGTATAGGATAAGTAATGACGACCAGCCTCACCCCTTCCAATTTTTAGCCATGTGCCGCAATTATTGAATTTTACAATAATAAATATACTCTATTTAACTATCTATCATTTTTAGAATATATCTGTCACGCTATCGTTTATAGATTCTATCTATCTTTATAGATTTTCTCTATCTGAGTCATTTCATATCTATCTTAATCTTTTCAGATTTTATCTATCTATCATTTATAGATTTTATCTATCTAGCTATCTATCGTTTATAGATTCTATCTGTCTTAGCCTTTTCATATCTATCCATCATTTATTGATTTTGTCTATCTCTCTATCTATCGTTTATAGATTCTACCTATCTATCTTCGCCTTTTCATATCTATATTAGTCTGTTCATATATATCTAGGGTTTATAGATTCTATCTATCTATCTATCTATCTATCTATCTATCTATCTATCTATCTATCTATCTCCCTTCATGTTACTTATATACACACCATTGTTTCTTTTATTTAACTCCTATACTTATATCTATCAATTTGATTGCCACAGCTCAGCCGTGAACCGCGTGAAAATTGAAATTGGCGTATCGTGTTCAAACTGCAGTTGAGACCATTTCGTTCCATTTTGCACAGGATCTAATGGAAAGGCATTAATCCATTTCCTTTTTTTTTCTCAGTTAGGCGTTAATAGAAAAGAAGGCTAGCATTTGGTTGTCTACCAGCCTACGAGAAGGACAATTCTGAATCTAAAAGCGCTAATGCGCGGGGTAGGGGTAGGGGGCTCTAAATGACTTATCTGCCACGGAAATACCAAAAGCCACACCCAGCATGCTCTAGTTCTGACCTTATATGTCACTGGGGATATACTGGGTTAACATTTAAATTTAACAATCTATACTAATCTATGTCCTTAAAGATATTTATCACTCTCATTCTGCATCCCCCTCCCTACCTCCATTTGTCTCTATTTGCTTATTTTTTTCTTTATTTAGATTCATATAATTCTGTTTATATGGAAGCCAATCTGTTCATGTCTCGATCAATACACATACAAGGATAAGATGCCGATACTATTGCGTAATAGTGTCCTCATCACAGTGTCTCAGTTTCAATAATACCTGCCTCATTATACCCTCTACGGGCAGTTGACACAAGTCGATTAATTAATTTAGATTTTGTTCATTTCCCTTTTTGTTATTTTGTCGTTCATCATAGGTGTCATCATATTTGAATAGACTTATAATGGCCAGCCGCGCGATCAGCATTTGGTTGGAAGCAGCTTGAGTAGAGTAATAATGTCATTGCACTTTCTGCCTATGACTCCACGTTGACGACATCTTTGTTATCATTTGTTAATGACCTCTTTGTCGACGTTCGTACTAGTAACATGTCAGGTCGTTTTATTCATTTGGGAAATCTGGAAACGGCGTCATTCGATTCTTATGACAGGTTCATATCTGAAGTTGCATTTTAGGAAACCGGCTAAAACTAGATTGCTGATTAGATTTTTCACTGTGTCTCTACCCTTCTGACGTAATGGTATACTTATTCCATAATTGCTCCGGGTCCGTCTCAGTGCCATGTTCAATTTAGGAAATATTACAGATATTTCAGAGGCCATTTTTAGTTTTTTGAAGTCTCTGATTATTCCATTGCGCTAAACTAATTCATTACCGGGCCTGGGTGGGGTTCATACCAATTTCTTTCAGTTTCTTTTCCGTAGAAGTTGCAGATTTTCCAGTGCAGATATTGGTCCACTCAGTCATGCCAATACCTTGCAACCTGATACAAGATTGTTTCTGGATATTTATCACAAAATCTGCATTTTGGGCTAACACAAGTGTACTTGATAATTTATAGTTAACAAGCATTTGTCCTGTGCAGCAATGGATAACACCGGTGTCAGTTTTTAACACTGCACTACGTAGCCACTGATGGTTGCAGGGTTTGTCTACATCGGCTTGTTCGGTACAGGTAGAGTACTGACCGTAAAGCGGTTTATCTTGCCATCGTTTCTGTATCTGGTCGGTTGCATTTGATTTTGCTTTCTTTTTTAAGTATTTTGCTGCTTCAGTCAGTGTATTGTGCTTTACTTATATTTCCACACCCATTTGAAACTCCATTTGGAACTTGTTGGCTTCCTTTATTACGGAATAAAATCGTTTACTACTTTCATGTTCTTTGATACATATCATCATCCAGTCTTCTGTAGTTATCTTTGATGGCCAATTGTTGGAGTTTTCTAGGACAGTTCTAGTTGAACTAATCCTCTGCCTCCTTCGGATCTTGGCACATACAAACGGTCAACATCAGATTTGTGATGATACATGCGGTAGCAAGAGACAAGTGAGAAGCTTTTTCGTTTTTGCGTCCATTCGCATAATGTCAACTATAGTCCTGTTAAGTATATTGAAACTATATTGCACCCCAGGAACAGTCAAGGTGTTTATGGCTGATATTCTGTTTATTGAATTCAGCTCGGTATTCACTACCAGACGTACACGCCTGTAGTACTCCTTTCTTACCTTTTCCTTCATTTGGGTATTTGTTGTATACTATCTCCTTCGCTAATTCCTAGGTACTTATAGGCTTCATCTTGTTCCAGTTCCCTAATCTTTGTCACAAAGTCTAAATCTATTGAGTGTGTTTCTGTAATTCTCCCTTACTTGAAAGTTAAGTTT